GATCACAAGTAGGCAGACAGGCAGGCAGAGGGAGAGGGAGAAGCAGGCTCCCCACTAAGCACAGAGCCCGATGCAGGACTTGATCCCAGTGGGGATCATGACCTGAGCCAAAGGCAGACGCTTAACCGACTGAGCCACCCAGGTGCCTCTTTTACATCTTAAATTACTGCTTTTAAATGAATATGTGGTCTGTTTTATTTGCCAGCGTTATTTTTTTCATAAGTCCTTGGTAATTGCTTGATTTCACTGTGCAAACTTCTATTGATTTCTGTCAAATCTGTTTTTTCATTTCATTCTTTTTTTTTAAGATTTTATTTATTTATTTATTTGAGAGAGGGAATGAGATAGAGCATGAAAGGGGGGAGGGTCAGAGGGAGAAGCAGACTCCCCGCTGAGCAGGGAGCCCGATGTGGGACTAGATCCTGGGACTCCAGGATCATGACCTGAGCCGAAGGCAGTCGTCCAACCGACTGAGCCACCCAGGCGCCCTCATTTCATTCTTTAAAATTTATTTACTCCTTTTATTCTTCTAACTTTTATAAATATATGCTTTATTTGTAAACATTTGAAAACTCAAAAGTCTTGTTTCCTTTTTCCTTTTCTTGGTTTATAAATGTTTATAAGCTCACTGAAAGTTTTGGCTGTAACTCTTTTTTTTTAAGATTTTATTTATTTATTTGCGAATGAGAGATAGAGAGCACGAGAGGGAAGAGGGTCAGAGGGAGAAGCAGACTCCTTGCTCAGCGGGGAGCCTGACACGGGACTCAATCCCAGAACTCCAGGATCATGACCTGAGCCGAAGGCAGTCGCTTAACCAACTGAGCCACCCAGGCGCCCTAGTTTTGGCCTTAATTCTTATCCAGAGACTTAAAACTTGGAGCAGTTCTTGGTACAGACTTCTTTTCACTGTGCCGAAGCCAAGTACAAAGTTTACTCTAATAAAATACCTTTAGGTTATATAGTAACATAGTATTGAAACTTAATATGTATGTCTTTATTGTATTTTAAATGCATTGAGAGGGGAAAATATCTTTTTTTTAAGATTTCATTTATTTGAGAGAGAGCACGAGCAGGGCTATGAGGGGGCAGAGGGAGAAGCAGACTCCCCACTGAGCAGGGAGCCTGATTCAGGACTCGATCCCGGGACGCTGAGATCATGGCCCAAGCCAAAGGCAGATGCTTAACCGACTGAGCCACCCAGGTGACCTAAAAATATTTTTTTAAGTGCATGCACAGCCCGACATAATTAGCACAAAGTCTGACTCATAGGGTTCAGTAACTGATAAATTTTAAAATTCATTATTCTGTTGATACTTCCTTTTCTTTTGCTCTCATATGCTTCCACCTGCCCCACCAGTTTCACTATCAATACCCTCTGCCAGACAAATATATTATTCTTAAAGTTAATCAAACCTTTGTTTTACTGCATTCTTCAGCAAGACTCATTTACAGACACAAATCTATTTGTTTCTTGCTTTCAGTTCTCCAGTGGATTCCTATTAGCTTTAAAAATTAAAGGGCCACCTGGGTGGTTCAGTCAGTTAAGTGTTTGCCTTCAGCTGAGGTCATGATCCTCAGGGTCCTGGGTTCAAGTCCCACATTGGGCTCCCTGCTCAGCAGAGAGTCCACTTCTCCCTCTCCCTCTGCCCCTCCCCATGTTCATTCTCTCTCATGCACACTCTCTCTGTGTCTCAAATAAATAAATAAAATTTTTTTTAAATTAAAAGACCAGTCCAATTACAATGACCTTTGATCCCTGAAATCTGCTTGTTTGCCTCCATCTCAGGTTCATCCCATAACTCAACTACCTTCCGGTGTGTCCTCGCTTCCTGGGGCACAGCAGGTTCTGCAGTGTGTCTACAGTGTTACACTTGCTCCCTCATTGGGGGGGCGGCCTGAACCTATTTCTATCTTTGCTAAACTTTCTCATGCTTTCCCAACTAAATTTTAAGGTGTCAGATAAATTATGTGTGCATTTTAATAGTGTTTCCCCACCTCCACAAATGAAATGCTTTAGTATTTTCACAGAGAATATTCTTGTCATTATTTCTTTAATCTCTTCTAAACTAGACTTAACTCCACAAGGATGATCTTTCCATGTAATTTCACTGTCTGGTACAGTCTTTGTTCTGAGTTGACTTGGAACATTTATTAATGAAAAAAGGAGATCATCACTTATTCTCAAGTACAAATGTTGCAGTAAATAGGTTAAAAAAAGACATAGAACACATCAAAGAGAGCGCCTGTGTGGCTCAGTGGGTTAAGCGTCTGCCTTCAGCTCAGGTCATGATCCCAGAGTTGTGGGATCGAGCCCCACATCGGGCTCTGTGCTCAGCGGGGAGCCTGCTTCTCCCTCTCCCTCTGCCCCTTCCCCTGCTTGTGCTCTCTCTCTCTCTCAAATAAATAAAATCTTAGAAGGAAAGAACACATCAAAGATACATGAAAATCAAAAGTTCATCAACTAATGGTTTACTACTAAAATAATACATACTAAAGATCTTTTACTGTCAGAAGATTAAAATGTTAAAATGACAAAGCATTCCTTATGGCATCCTACCTAAAAGGAAAATATATTACATGATTTTTCTTCAGAAACAATATATTCTATAAAAAAAGTCTTTTAAGATTTTAGAATTTTTATTCTTTTACCATCAATTTAAAACATACACTATTTAGAGATAAAAGTAGAAATTCCATGGTTGTCAGAAGGTGAGGGTGGGGAGAGGAATGGGAACTGGTTTAGAAGATGGAGTTCTGGAGATAGATGGTGGTGATAATTGCACAACATTATGAATGTCTTAACATCATTGCACTATACACTTAAAAATGATTGGGGTGGGGGGCGACCGCTGGCTCAGTCAGTGGAGCGTGTGAGTCTTGATCTCAGGGTTGTAAGTTCAAGCCCCACATTGGGTGTAGAAATTACTTAAAAAATAAAATTTAAAAAAAAGATTAGGATGGTAAATGTTATATTGTGTGTATTTTGCCACAATAAAATAAAATGGAAAAATATCCTATTTATAGTAAAATCAATGCTTACAGTGATCATTCACTCTAGAAATCATCTGTTAAAAAGAAAAAGAATCTGTCAAGTTATTAATTCATTTACTTAGGAAAAAAATCTCATTTTTTGGAAAGTGAGGGGAGAAATCAGAATGTGTGAGTTCAGAAGCATGGAGGTTTGAAGTATTTAAGGAGCATCGAAGATTTATTAGTTACCAAACAAGAATGGTGTTGCCAGATACATTTGGAAGCTACTACGAGTTGTGAGTTGACATACACAGGAGGGTCAGTGTCTTGGTCCTGTGTTGCCACCTACAGTCATGGAATAGGCAGGTATGTGGAGTCACCTTCTGTTGGACCCTTGATCAGCAGACATAGTAAAAAGACATAAATAACATTAGTCTGGGTAAATATCTATAGAAGTGAGTAACTGAACTAACCTGGGCAGTAAAAATGAGGAGGGCTGGAGGCTGATGTTTGGGAATTGGGGCAGTGCTGTGGTTCTCATGCAGTAGAAAACTTGGACACAGGATCTAATTCTGTGAAAAAGCAAGGACAATGGGTTGTAAAAACAGGGTGGGGCCTCTGATTGTTAATGTTAGGGGTACTGTTCCAGGTAAAATCTAGGTGTGATGTGTAACCCTTAAAATTTGAGAGTAGGAGAAAGGGAAAGGGAAATTGAAATTCTGCCTGTAACACTTTTCTAATGTGCTTCTGTGCATGTATATGCTGGTGTGCATGGGGTTTTGTCATACTACTAAAGCTTCCTGAAACTCTGATGATGGCATTTATTAAATTAATAATGAAATCATAATTAGCAGAATTCTTTTGAGGAAGAAATGAACAAATTATGTATATCTCCCAAGCACAGGATCACATTAAATAAAACTTTATCTTTTCTTGACGTGAGATACAAATGGGTAAGTTAAACCTACCTCTTTTTATGACTCATTCTTATCACTTGTCCATGAAATACATTTACTTACTATGGATGTTTTAGGGGAGGATTTACAATTTATAAATGCTTTCACAGACACACAGAGACACAAAATCAAACAATGAAATTCAGGGAAGTTGCAGCTAATGCAGATTTCAGTGCAATTTTCTAAAACTTTAGGTGGAGTAAATAAACATCCTCCTAAAATCCTTTCATTCTATAGTTTTTGGAAGTACTACCCTGTAAAGATTGTTGGACTTGACGTTGTGCTGTAACCCACATATTCCTGTAATTTCCTGACGCAGGGGATTTTAAAGGGTAAATTTGTAAGATGGGTGTCTTTGATCGCTCAAAATGAAGTAAGTCACTAAATTAATCTTACCATAAAATACATTTTTTTGAAGAGTCTTTATTCATTAGAGAGAGCAAGAGCACGAGCATGGGTAAGGGCAGAGGGAGAGGGAGGAGCAGACTCCCCCCTGAGCAGAGAGCCTGATGATGCGGGGCTTCATCCCAGGACCCCGGGATCATGACCTGAGCTGAAGTCAGACGCTCAACTGACTGAGCCACCCAGGCACCCCCATAAAATGGATTCTTAATAATCTTGTTTGGAGTGGTACTGCTGGAGACCTTCCTTGGAGGAGACAATGATGGATGATATGTGTATCCAGAGAGAGGGCTGGGACAGGGAAGAACAGGGATAGAGTGAGACACCAGAGGGCTGAGGAGGAGTTAGGGAAACTGCTAATAATACCTAAGTCTGAGAAATTTCACAATGCTTACACGTTTGGCAGGTGCCAGAAATCCTGTTTTGGAATCAGGAGGGAATTGGCTTTTCACATTCTTCCTAAATTGAGGGTACTTCTATCTTCTCTCCAAGCAACAAGAAAGCCTTAACTTTGGAGAGGTGTCCTCCCCTCCCCATTTCCTTTGGAGCACACTGCATGTTTCTGTAGGTTCTGCTGGGGATTACTTCCAGGTGAAGGAGTGGGGCTTCGTGAGGAGTGGGTATGGCAATTGTGGGCAGCTGGAGTGTCATGGTTCCTTTCTCCTTCCTCAGCTTTGCCTCCTATTGGTGAGACTGTGTATGAGTGAAAACCCAGAAGACACTTGACAACCGAGCTACTAAGAATGGACTCACAAGTGAGTAGGGAGTTATTCTTTCTACTGAAATAGCATGTCTGTTGCCATCATGTGGACATATATCTACAAGCATTTGTGTTCTAAGTACACTCAAGTTTTTCAAGGATCTGAACTTTAAGCGTTCCAAGAACTGTGGAATGGTCCTGTTTGGTCAAGGACTCATCACGTGGTAATCTCTTTCCCAATGTTATGCTAAGATATCTCAGCCTCAGTTAATGCCCTGTATTTTCTGGAGAGATGAGAGGTTTTTTTTCATATCCATCCCATGCCCTAGTTGGCACCAAAAATTCACTCATTAACCATTTTATTGACTGTAATGGGCTTACGATTCAGGTCAATGCAGGTGATAGAGATGAATAAGGAGCAAAACTTTACAGCCCAATAGGAAGGCAGATGTTCCCACATGTGAGCTCAGTCAATCCAGTATTATATGTGCTGGGGCGGTAGGTTGGGGGGGGTGCTAATTACTGAGGGAAAGTAAATGATGGTCATGCCAGAGAAGTCAATGTGGAGTCAGTCTTTTTTTTTTTCCAAATGTAAACCTCTTATAAGTTTTGACAGAATGTATTTGTACTTTTTGAAACTTATAAAAGAGAAAACTAAAATTCATTACTTCCCTTGTCCCAAATGAGGGGATTTTTTTCCCCTTCTTTGTAATTTCCCTTAGTTCAAATTTGGTAACTGGAAACAATGTATAGGGAGTACTGTTTTCTTAACTTTGAGTGTAATTCAGGAAAAGGAATATAGGAGGTAAAATAAAACCTAAGGAGCTCTGGAAATTTTTGATGAGCTGAAGAGATAAGAACAATAAAATGGCTTTAAGCATGCTTGAACAGAGAGACCAGATAAAGAAAAGCACAATGATAACTGATATGTGGAGGGCCTCAGGCAATAGAAGGGTCGGGGATAATACTATCCTTCATTATGGAAGTCTCAGAGCCTCTGGCTTGTACTCATGAACCATTTAGGCTTATACTTTATAATGAATACCTGTTATGTGAAGATAAAAGGATGTGCTGCTGATCTCATATCCTGTGTGAATTCTGTTCAGTTTTGCAGAATTATGGAGATTGCTTCAATACTCTGACAGTTATTGGATAATAAAACTAGAAGTTGTGTTTAAGAAATGTTTGCTATTGACATTTACTATGTCATTGGATCTTTAAGAACTCATAAAAGGTCATTACACCATTTCATGGATGGCAAAACTGAGGTCATATAAGGGAGTAATCTAATCAAAGTTCTTAAAAAGTGGCAGGTTATGTAATGAGTCCATAGATTTATTTGAAATTGATGGAGAATAGTGTTTTAGTTTTAAGTTTTCCAGAGAGACTTTTATACTCATGATCTGGAAGTCTTAATTACAAGTTTATTGGGAAATCCACAGGTTATATCTACATCTCATCTGGTATCTCTATAATGAAATATATGTACTTTGAATGTGTGTCTGGGTATATCTGAAAGTCCAGTGTCCAGGTGTGCACTGAAAATGAACTGAGGCCAACATCCTGTTTGAGCTCTCTGTACATGCAGCCCCCGCTTCCTTAGTGCTGTCACCTGTACCAACCTCCCCTGAATATTGGCAGAGTTAGCCCTGTCTGAAAACAACGTCCATCATCTTCTAGGAGTCAGTGACCTTTGAGGATGTAGCTGTAGACTTCACTCAGGAAGAGTGGACCCTGCTGGACAGGTCCCAGAGAAAACTCTTCAGAGATGTGATGCTGGAGAACATCAGTCACCTGGTCTCAATTGGTGAGTCTCTTAGTGTTTATTATGTATGTATATGCCCGTTCACTCATTCATTCAACAGCTGTGTGGAAAAGATTGCTCATTTCTGTGATTTCTGAAGACTCTTCTTTCTTACCCACAACTACCTCACAGCAATCTTCACATTTTACTTTTGTCATCCCACTAGAATTTCATGTCTTTCTTGCTACTCAATCTCCCACTCCAAACAGTGGTGGGAACTCATTATTTTTGAATTGGTAAGTAAATATACTGACTTTTTTTCCTGTGAGGACTGATCAGACCACAGTATTTAAAAAAAAAAACGGGCACCTGGGTGGCTCAGTCTGTTGAGTATCCGACTCTGTTTCATCTCAGGTCATGATCTCAGGGTCGTGGGATTGAGCCCTGCATCAGGCTCCATGCTCAGTGCAGAATCTGCTTAAGTTTCTCTCTCCCTCTTCCCCTCCTATCCCCCCAGTCTCTGTAAAATAAATAAATCTTTAAAAAAAAAACAAAACAGACAAATGGTTTTCCATGTAGAACCAAGATTTTTCTGGTGGAGTTGTATTATTAGATTCATTTAGGATATACTATTCAAACACTGTGAGAACTTGTATCTTCTCGCTGTGTTAAAATATTGAAGATTACACAGTTTGTCTCTGAACTTAGGCATCAACAATGATAGGTCCTTAATGTCTTTGGGAAAAGTCAAGAGTTAAACTTCTGTTCGTGAAGGACTATCCATGTTGTTTTCAACATACTCTTACCTGGGATGACTTTCAGAGGTTACCTTATTCTGTCTCATTAGTTGGCCCTATATTGAAGATCATGCAGTGTTATGGGCACAAAAGTCAAAATCCAATTATCTTTTTTCTGTGAACAGGCAGACAACTCTACAAATCAGATACAATTTCCCACTTGGAACCAGGAGAGCACCTTTCAAAAGAAGGGAGAGGTTTGCTGCAATGCCGGAGTCTAGGTGAGCTACAGTAAGAGCCTAGTCAGTGAGTAGGCCCTAAGAATCATCAAATGAAATCTAGAAAAAATAAAACAATATGAGAGGGGAAAATTTTTTCAGATATTGTCATTATACTTAACAGGTGTCAGTTTCTATTCTGTCTTTGGGAAGGTAATAGTTATGTACTTACTGGAGTTAAAATATACAAAGTGTCCCTTTCCATGATTCTCTTCTATGAAGATTTTCCCTCTCTTTTCCTCCCCAACTTACCATCTCCATCTTTTTTTTCTCATATTTCAGTCCTGAAAAGGTCAACTGTTGATGTGCTTTGTGTTTCTTCTCCTTATGGTATTCCTTAATTTGACATTCTTTCCCAACTCTGTCAGTATTTGAAACATACTCAACAAGCATTTAGTGTCTTCAGCATTTTAATTCCGTCAATGTCACTATGGCAATTTTTTCCCCATCATTTCAGATAGGGAAGATGATCTTAAAAAACAAGAAATGATATTCGTGCAACATATCTGCAAGAAGGACACAACATTAATCAGTGCAATGGTAAGCTTTAAGGGAATGAACCTGTGCTTCCAAATGATGTGGGTATTGAATAAGCAAGGAATTGGGCACAATTACCCAACCATACTTTAAGTTGAAATCAAGGGTTTTCACAGCAGGAAGTTTTGGTTAGTTTGATTTTAGGGAAGAAATTAATCTGAAGTCAAAACCATAACCTGAGGTCTTGTAAACAGATAGCTGCATGATCATGACTTACATACCTAAAATTTGAAACATAATAATGTCTTTAATCAGATATCTCTGCATTTGGAATGCTACAAAAAAGAAAATCTCTATGCTTGCTGGAGAGGAATACCCCCTGTTTATGTAACTAATCTTGAGACAATGTTGTAGGACTCTATCACTGAATGATGACTGTAGAATTTATATGTAGATGAAGGAAGGAAGGAATAAATGTGAGGGAATTTTTAACAGTCTCTTATTTCCTTTCAAAAAGCAGAGATCTCACACTCAAGAGGATACTTTTGAATACAATGATTTCGGAGAAAATTTTACTGAAATACTAACATGGACTCAATATGTGGTACCTAAAATGGGAAAGAATCCCTATATCAGCAAAGAATGTGGAAAAGACAGCGGTTATTTGACATCTTTTAATACACATAAGCAGAGTCACACTACAAGTAAATCATACGAATGTCATCAACGTGGGAATGCCTTTATTCAAAGCTCTGCCCGTAGACAAACCAATAATACTCAAAATGGAGAGAAAACATTTGAATGTCATGAATGTGGGAAAGCCTTCGGAAAAAGTTCCAACCTTAGGCGACATGAGATGATTCACACTGGAGTGAAACCACATGGATGCCATCTGTGTGGGAAAGCCTTCACTCATTGCTCTGACCTTAGGAAGCATGAGAGAACGCACACGGGAGAGAAATCATATGGATGCCATCTATGTGGGAAAGCCTTCAGTAAGAGTTATAACCTTAGGCGACACGAGATGATTCACACCAGGAAAAAACCCCATGGATGCCATCTATGTGGGAAAGCCTTCACCCACTGTTCTGACCTTAACAAACATGAAAGAACTCACTTTGGAGAGAAACCATATGGGTGCCATCTATGCGGGAAGACATTCAGTAAAACTTCTTACCTTAGACAACATGAGCGAACTCATAATGGAGAGAAACCATATGAGTGTCATCTGTGTGGGAAGGCGTTCACTCACTGTTCTCACCTGAGAAAACATGAGAGAACTCACACTGGAGAGAAACCATACGAATGTCATCTGTGTGGGAAAGCTTTCACTGAATCTTCTGTCCTTAGACGACACGAGAGAACCCACACTGGAGAGAAACCGTATGAATGTCATCTCTGTTGGAAAGCCTTTACTGATTCTTCTGTCCTTAAACGACATGAGAGAACTCACACTGGAGAGAAACCGTATGAATGTCACCTATGTGGGAAAGCTTTCAATCACTCTTCTGTCCTTAGACGACATGAGAGAACCCATACCGGTGAGAAACCATATGAATGCAATGTATGTGGCAAAGCCTTCAATAGAAGCTATAACTTCAGACTGCATAAGAGAATCCACACTGGAGAGAAACCATATAAATGTTTTGTATGCGGGAAAGCCTTCAGTAAATATTTTAACCTTAGACAACACGAGAAAATACATGTTAAGGTAATAAATGTGGAAGACTCACCACCTATAGCTTCAAACTACAAACACTCTTGAGGGCTCAAATACTCAAGAAACACCATATTTATAATCATTGTGGGAGAGCATTTATTCATCCTTATTACTTCATTCAACTGAAGGTAATCCAAAGTGGAGAGAATCCGTATGTGGGTCATCTATATGACAAAACCTTTAGATAATGGACTGACATGGAAGGATGTAAATGAAGTGAGTGAGGAAGAATTTTCATCCACAGTTCCGTCAAACAAAATGGAGAAGTTACATGTCAGAGAAAATATGTCTGTAATCAGTGCAGAAATACTTTGATTTATCCTTTTGTGCAGGGGAGTCTAGATCTGTAATCACTATGCACTCATTCAATTTAGCAACTCATTTGGCATGCAGAAGAAATCTGCTAAAACAAGAAGTAACTGGGGAAAAAAATCATTACTAGGAAGACAAGAGAATTTTGTTGCCAAAGGGTTGTGTTCAGTGAGAACTAGGACATGAAAGAGACTGAGGATATTTGGAGTATCCTATTTCCAGGATGCCTGACACACTCACGCTAACATCTGTAGTGACAAAGCACTGCCTTAGCAGCAAAAACCACAGTTTGGCACAGCTGAAAGCTGAAGCAGACAATCCAACTTTGCCCATATCCCTGACACACCAGCCACGAATGCATGTACCACCCAAGTGAGGAGACCTGTGTGTCCCAGTTCCCCCCACAGGCAAATGCAGAAAGCCAGGAGACCAGCTTACAGGCCAAGTCATTGGTCCTCACTCACTTGAGTGTGACTGGTCCTCATTCACACGTGGCAAGAAAGAGAATGCAGATGCTTATAATTAATTTATAACATTATGAGTGAGTATGCAATGCCCTTGTCAATCCCCACTTTATCTCTGCCCTTTGGTTTGAAGATATTATTGATGTGTCCTCACACTAATTTGTTTTCTATGTGTAAAGTCTTAAACTCACCCATTAATGTCACCAATAGGACATAGTTTCCCAAACCTAGAACTATTGAATTTCTCCATCTTCTCATGTTTCTTATAACTTCTATTTTGTGTAGTAATATTATAAATTTTCCTCCTAACTCCAATCTAAAGATAGATGTGGATTTGTGCATTGTGTCTTTTTTTTCCCATCATCTTTCCTGCTGCTTTACAAAAATGGTTTTGTATTTTTTAATTTTTTAATTTCACACATTGTTTTGAAAAAAAGGGAGACTGAAGTTGATATGGTTTTACCCAGACAAGTTTATTTTTCTCTTAGAGTGAGGAAACATCACTTCTTCCATCCAGGAGTTGGAATAGACTCAGGCTAGGTGGCAGCTTTGATTTCATTCAGACATTCATGTCTTTCAGGTCATTCCTCTAGACTTATTGAAGACACCTTCCAAAGTAGTATAAACTGCGAAGACAAAACGCGTTCTTTTTCTCTTTATCCACACCTAAAAACCTATGGGGAAAAGAATCCCAGTACTGGAGATTCTCTATATTTCAATCAGCCTGTGTCAGTCCACATGTTTATATATCCATCTACTTGTTATTTCCTCATAGTGATTTTGCCCATGATTTTCACTGTCTATATGAAGCAAATTCCCCCAGGTGTGGAAATCAGATGGTCTCTTCCTGGTTCTTAGAGTCCTCTCTGGTTTCACAAATCTCTGAATCTAAAACATCTAATTTCCTGTTGTCTGTCTTGTCTCTACTCAACATCTTACCTGGAAGCAGAAGCCTCAATATTTCGCTTGAACAGATTTCCAGCTGATTTTGTTCTCAGTCAAGAAAAGCTGCCTATTTCTCTGGACTGTCCTTCCGTGGTGTTCATTCCCAGATGCTTCAGTAGAAAAAGCCAGTATGAATATGAAAATCACATCACCGAGCTTCCCTTTTCTCAGACTGTATCACGTCATCTGAACAGGCTACACCTCAGTGCCTCTGTGCAGTTGCTTGTGTACTTTAGTTTCACTGCTGTCACTGGTTAGTTGGTCCAGTACAAGCTACTCAGGGCCAAAACGGAAATAATTCACCTGGAGACATTTTAAACCAAAGAATGATTCATCTCTATTTTTAATGCATTTGTCAGAATTTTGAAAATAGTAACTATTTATATTCTCCAGTTTACAAGTTGGAATCACATTAAAACTTTGATACTTTCTCATGGGCTTAATTATCTACACTTCCCTAACTTAATTTCTTGGTACTGTGTTCGTATCAAACACCCATAGGTCAGCCATACAAACCAGTTGTGCTGGGTTCTGATGGAGGTCAGCATACATTTCATTCCTGTGCCAAATGCCTGGCCTTCTCAGCCCTGGGCTTCCATGCTGATGTCCAAGGGTGAAATACCCTATTTTCGAAGCACACACGGGCACAGCCAGGTTTTCCTTTGAGGACTGTGTCAGCAATTGTGTGTGGGGGCAGAGGGCACATGGTGATTATATGACCTGTATACAGTCATGTTTCCTTGTTTCTGTGACTTTAGAAAGCATAGGTCATTATGGTGTCTGAGAGTATGTGATCAATGTGGAAGGTACACAGGTGACTGTCAGAACACAGACACATGTTACCAGATCTCATCTGCGCACATGCACGTGTCAGGGTTTGCATGTGTTGAGGGTGTTGTGTCCAGTGTGGGATCAGTGTGTGTGATGACTGTCTTAGAGGGCACACGAGGTAGAAAGCACCAGCTCAGCAGTTCAGTAAAGACTCACAGAGCACACCCACAGGGGAGCCTGGGAAAAGTGAAACCAGCATTGTGGGGTCAGGCCTGTGGGACTTGCAGGGGCTCTGGAGAAGGGAAGACTAGAATCCAGGGTCTGAACAGTTCAGAGATGTGGGAGCTGTGGGCACCAGGGATGGGGGCTCTGAGTGAGAGTGTTAAGTTTGGGCAGAAGGTTGAGGAGTGAGTTATAGAGCTATGTGGTGGAGAGCCTATAGGTTGGGGGATCAAGGATTCTAAATTCTCCACCAGGGGGAAGGACCAAAGCTACTTTGAAGCAAAACCCCAAAGCAAAAATGTGAAGTGATACATACTGGTGGAGGAAGGGGCAGGTGCAGAAACAGCTGAATAGGGTAGGTGGGGCATGGACTGCTCACACTGGCTCCCTGTTTCTCAAGGCCCAGCACCATCTCACCGAAGCCTCACTGCCCCTGCCCCTTCCTGGGGGAAGCCCCTCTTTGACCAACACTACCTGCCCTATAGCTTCCTGCTGAGCTAGAAGCAGATTTGCTGGAGCAAAAGTACCACCCAAGTGGACCAGGTGCTCCTGTCTTCGAGACTCAAATCCTGCATTCGCTGGCACCTCTCCTCCCCACCCATTCTTCACACCTGGTTGCAGGAGTCCCAGCAGATAGCACAGTCCACGCACCTGCCCATACCATCAGCAGGGAGACCCCCTGAGAGGCTCAGGACACTGGCTGTTCTGCCACCAGGTCTCACTCACTTTGTTTCTAGTTAAAACGGATGGGAAGCTATCCCTGTTTGGACTTTCTGCCTTTGGATTCTTCACTGTCTCCTGTCCCAACGCTATGACAAGTCACAATTAGGGAAGTGGATTATTGCCTTTCACCATCAATCCTGTTGGCCCTCCAGACCATCCCCCAGGTGCCGTGCCATTCCCGGTCCTAGCATTCTGCAGACCCCAGTCCTCTCCTGAGACCCCTCTTCTGTTCTCCTGGGAGCTGCGCCCTGCTGTTTCTCAGGCCCGCCCTTCAGGCTGCCTCAGGAAGGTCCCGGGGTGAGGGGGGGCCGCCGACCTCTCCTGTTCCAAATGTCACCTTCCGTGCTGTGTCTGGCACAGTATGTTTACATTCCTGGTGTGTCACTGGGAAGTGGGCTCTTCCTAGGAGGGCATCTTTAGTACGTCCGTATGGATGTCTAGTCGGGTGTGGGATACGAAGGAAAGAACACGTCAAAGAGGGAGAGCAATAAGGAAGACGGAACAAGTCAGAGAAAGTAAGGTCGAATGGGAGTAAAATAAAGGATGGGGGCAGGTGGATCCGATGGGCTCATAAAGACATAATAGCACCACAAGAAGAGTGATCTAGACAAGAATCAGTGGGGTCATCAGGGAGGGAGGACAGAACAGAAGCCTTAATAAGGGCATAGGACACAGGAAGAGCTAATTATCATGTTTTTAAAATTTTTTAAATTACTTTCCCCTCAAAATTTATTGTCACGAGGCCTCAGTGTTTTTCAGTATCATATACTGAAAATATTCTTCAGTCCTTGTTAAATAATTTTACATTATCTCAATATGTAGTTTGTAAAGACATTAGATTTTTTATATTAACTAGTAAAACCCTGTTTAACCAGCTAGTCTATTATCAGCAGTATCCTTGCTTTCTTTACGTGATCTTTTGACTCAATGAGCAGTGAGCTCAACATGACTGATAAATTGCACAGAGCCATTTCTATAGCAAACTTCTCAGGTTTTCCTGGATCTTTTACTTAAAATTTTCATGCAGTCAAACATAAAACCTTCCCTTCATGCCCTCTTTCTTGCCTTCCTGTGAAAGGGCTCCAACTGTTATTATAAAATATTACTTTCTGAGAAAACAGACTTCATCAACATGCCAGGATACTTTTCTACTGTCTTCCTCTCAAAGAACACTGATTAGACAATCATCCAGCATGAGAGGGCCTTTGTGGAAATTCGGGAGCCCAGCAGAGAAGGTCCAGCACACTGCTGGAGCAAGGAAATAAGAAGAAGTCGTCAAAGACTAGGTGCATTAAAAAGGATTAAGAGTAACAGTTTCACTTTAACTGGATCACCATTCTCCCGAAATGGCACATCCTGACCCATGTTTTCTCCCACGGGAGAAAGGGAGAGCATCTAAGTGAGTGACCTGCTCCTCTAGCCAAAGGAACCCAGGTCTTCCTGCACTCCCTTCAATACTGGGGTGTGGTGCATGACCTGGGGCGGGGAAGCCCCTGTGAAAAGAGCAGGTGGAGGTCTTACAGGGCAACGGAAGAGATGCGGATCCTACAAACTCCACTGCAGACTCCATCAGGAAGCCTGTCCATGAGCTGCCAGGGACACTGCACCTCTGAACCCCCCAGTGCTCAGTGCACATCACCCACACATCTCTCAACCTGGTGGTCAGCTACCTGAGTGCCCTCCCAACTGCGTCCAGAGTGAGCCTCGCAGGAGGCTAGAGAGCATGCAGACAACGCTGGCCCAACTCTGTGGGACTGTGCGTCAACACTAAACAGGAGCATTTAGCACCACACTAGGGAAAGCAAAAGGAAGGCTGTCAGCACCTGGCCTGGCTTTGCAGTATCAAGAGAAGGCCTATAATCAGGAATTCCACAGCTCCCAAGAGGAGACAAGAAGTGCAGAGCAGGACCATACATAGAAAAGGTGTGAGAGAGGATACAGCAAATTCAAGATTTGTTTTTTTACCAAAGTCTGGCAAGATTTATTTTTTTTAAAGATTTTATTTATTTATTTGAGAGAGAGAATGAGAGAGAGAGAGAGTACGAGAGGGGAGAGGGTCAGAGGGAGAAGCAGACTCCCTGCCGAGCAGGGAGCCCGATGCAGGACTCAATCCCGGGACTCCAGGATCATGACCTGAGCCGAAGGCAGTCGCTCAACCAACCGAGCCACCCAGGCGCCCATTCTGGCAAGATTTAAAAGAACATGGGCACCTGGGTGGCTCAGTCAGTTAAGTATCCAACTCTTGATTTTGTCTCAGGTCCTGATCTCAGGGTCGTGAGATCGAGCCCCACACTGGGCTCAAAGCTCAGCAGGAAATCTGCTTGAGATTCTCTCTCCCTCTGCCCTCTGGACTTCCCGCCGCTCATGTTCTTGCTCTTTCAAATAAAATAATACATCTGTTTTGGGCGCCTGGGTGGCTCAGTCGTTAAGCGACTGCCTTCGGCTCAGGTCCTGATCCCGGGTTCCTGGGATCGAGCCCGATGCTCCTGGCTCAGCGAGGAGCCTGCTTCTCCTCTCCCTCTGCCTGCTGCTCTGCCTACTTATGCTCTCTCTCTCTCAAATAAATAAAATCTTTAAAATAATATAAATCAATCAATCAATCAATCTGTTTTAAAAGGGGCGCCCGGGTGGCTCAGTCGTTAAGCATCTGCCTTCAGCTCAGGTCATGATCCCGGGGTCCTGGGATCCGAGCCCCGCGTTGGGCTCCCTACTCCGTGGGAAGCCTGCTTCTCCCTCTCCCTCTGCCCCTCCCTCAGGGATGGAGGACAGAACAGAAGCCTTAACTTTTAAAAACGTGGTAATTAGGACATTGGCTCTTCCTTTGTGCCCTACACCCATGCTTGTGTGCTCTCTCTCTCTCGGACAAATGAATAAAATCTTTAAAAAAATAATAATAAAATAAGCATATAATGTAGTTATATACCCAAATTCAGAATACTGCAATCCTATTATATGGTGATACATTAACCACTTACTTCCAGTGTCAAGGTTAAAGGACAAAAGTACTGAGAATAACTATAGGTACCATAATTTTTAAAGGACACGCAATGTGAAAGGAAATAAATTGTGACATCAAAAACATAAAACATATGGGGGAGAGTAAAGGTAAGTTGCTTATCAGCTAACATTAGACTGTTATATCTAGATGACGTTTTATGAAGTCTTACGATGACCGCAAAGCAACAGTAGATACACAAAATAAAAAGACAGGAATCAAAGCACACTACAGAAACTCATCAATACACAAAGACAGTGCAGCACGAGACCTGCAGAACATCGAGAAAAGAATGAGATGGCATTAGCGAGTCCTTGTCTATAGTAATTACCTAAGACATGAGTGGATAAATTCTACAATGAAAAGGCAGAGTGGGGGTGCCTGGCTGGCTCAGTCAGCATTTGACTCTTGATCTCAGGGTTATGAGCTCCAGCCCCATATTGGAGCTTACTTAAAATTTTTAGGGGCACCTGGGTGGCTCAGTCGTTAAGTGTCTGTCTTCGGCTCAGGTCGTGATCCCAGGTCCTGGGATCGAGCCCCGCATCGGGCTCCCTGCTCGGCGGGAAGCCTGCTTCTCCCTCTCCCGCTCCCCCTGCTTGTGTTCCCTCTCTCGCTGTGTCTGTCAAATGAATAAATAAAATCTTTAAAAAAAAAAAGGCAGAGTGGGTGACTGCATTAAAAAAAATACCCAGATATACCCTACCTACAAAAGATTCGCTCCAGCTTTAAAGACACATGCAGGCCCGAAGTGGTGGGGTAGGAAAACGTATCCCAGGCCGACGGCAACCCCCAGAGAGCAGAGGTACATCAGACAAAACAGACTTCGACTCAGAAACTACAACAAGAAACAGGATCATTGCATGCTGACACAGAGGTGAGTTCATCAAGAAGATAGAACATGTGCAAGTATATCAAACGACATGATACTCACACTAAAATGAACAGAATATTTTATAATGACAGAATAAGGGAAGACTTCCAAAATAAAATTAAAAACCTGATAGCATGAAGTAAAGATTTCTATTTCACTGTATAAAGATTATAACTAAAACAGATCAAAGTGCACACACGTGTATGTATAACTGTGTGTGTGATAAAACTAGAATACAAAATATTTTGTAAAATTACTTGAAAAATGAGCCAAGTAGGAAAATTAATTTACATGGACATGTCTATAAATACAACTGTATTAATAACATTTATTCAGTAATCAGTGAAATATAAAGTTATTTTCCTTATATACATAAAAATAAAGAATGTAATATTGAGCCCTGTTTGCAGTTGAGTGAGAAGCCCACATTTTGGTGATGGTTGATGGTACCACTGCGACTCTAGGCAGGGTGTCTTGCCAGAATCTATCAAACCATGAATGCACCATACTTCACACCAGCACTCAGACTCCAACTTGCCCAGAGCACAGGAGCACACAGAGCTCTTCAGAGAAGTCACTGTGCTTAGAGGCAGCCCCTAAATGATTCTTTACAAATCCAGTAACGTAAGGTCTCTGGAATGTATGTGTTGTGAGCTATTTTTAAAACTCCTACTCTTAGACACTTAGGTTGAGTTCCTTTTTTTTAAGATTTTATTTATTTATTTGGCAGAGAGAGCACAAGCAGGGGGAGTGGCAGGCAGAGGGAGAGGGAGAAGCAGGCTCCCCGCAGAGCAGGGAGCCCGATGCAGGACTGGACCCTAGCACTGTGAGATCATGACTTGAGCTGAAGCAGATGCTTCACTGACTGAGCCACCCAGGTGCCCCTGATTTCATTTTTAAAAAGCAATTGTGGAATAAAACCCATCCCATCATGTGGATTAAATGAACGCAACCTTGATTTTCATGATCAGTTTCTGCATTCTCCCACTTTATTCCAAGTAATTAATATTTTGAGGCCAGATCCACACGGGTTCAGTTTGCTAAGGTTGGAATGCATTATAAAGTCAGGGAGATCAAGTTTTCCATTACCAATCTTATTTTCCAAGATTTTCCAGCAATTCCTGCACATTAATTAGTCCTTATTCATAGAGAATTGGCAGGGCATCCTGCTTTGGTCCCTAGGAAATCCCTGCTACCCTACCTTATTGAAACCGTAGTACTCACCCCATCTCCAAACCCTATCTGAACATGAAGTCCTTCCAACGATTCAACCCCAAATGGAAATGCTTCACGAGTTTGATGTCAGTGGTTCATGGTGAGATGGAATCTGTCTAAAGATGGAAGAGGGTTCAGAAAACACCACGAGCGACTGTGAGCAAATGTGTTAGGTAGGATACTTGAGAGCTGAACATTAGTAAGGTTTAAATCGCATTTCAGAGGGAGAGAACATAACGATCAACAGAGAATATAATTTTTCTTCTAAGAGAGAAGCATTCCTGACTCCTGCTCATCTTCCCTTCTGAGCGTCCTTCTGAGGCAAGGTCACTCTTCACTCACTCCTGAGTGTTGACACTATGCCTTTCAGGGCTTGGAATCAATACACCTTCTTGTGCCACAACCATACATATCAGGAGTCCTGTTACCTCCCACAGTAACTCCTACACTGTATCCTACGGATTGAGGTTTCTGTGATTTGTCCGGCGTAACCTTCCACCCCGACCTGCACGAACACAGACAGGCTAAACAATGACGTGTGTGAGACTCCTTCTGTGGCATGAGTGACCTCGGGAGCCTGGTCAGTGGACATTAGCTGGCTTCCAGGTCAGAACGGGCCCTTCTGGTCCGGACGCCAAGAGCTGTGAAGTCTTGCCTTACATCCCCTCCTGCTCCAGGCTGGGCTGTCCCCCCGGAACGGAATCTGGGAGGGAGGCAAACACACACAGCCTCGACTCCTTGAAGATGCAAAGACGATAACACAGAAATGCAGCTCACTGCAAACTGCACGTAGGCAAACAAACGTTTAGCTTCCGACCCCATCATGTGCCCTCTAAATACAGCCCTTGTGGGGATGGTCAGTGGGAAGTTTCAGCTGAGGGGAGGACGGAGGACGCTCTGCCCAGGCCTCTCCATCGGGACTGCAGCCCGGCTGTTTGTGTCCCCGGGGCTTCCCCAGCTGATGAGGCTGGATGTTCTAAGTACCCAAGGTGATGTAACTTTGTGTTGTTCTCCTTTACTGCTTACTCCTGCCTCATCTATGGGCAGATCTCCCTTTCCTTCTTTCGGTTTCTATTAGATTTTTATAGTATCAATGAGCGGACTATGGCTGCCGTGAATCTTTGCTTCAGAACTTGCATCGTCAATAACTTCAACATGGAGACCCAGAGTTTGGTTTTTCTGTTTCTTCAGAAAGTCTTCCTACCCTAGTGAAGCCACATGTCACTTGGCAGCAGTGGGCACGTGACTGAAATCAGACACTGAAGACACTGCTAGTACCTGCTGAGCACAGATCTCCAGGTGAACATAGAGATTTTCATTTCTCCTATTTTGGAGCTTCCCAGTGTCCCACCCTCTCCTGGTTCCTTAACCCCCTTATGCATTCTTCTTTTCCTCCCCCAAGCTCAGGACACACCACTGGGTGACCCTCTTCTTGGGAGAGACACCTACGTTCTGTGCTTAGTGTAAACAGTCTGGGTCCTCACCTCCCCAACCGCCCTGAAACCCTGTTCATGTGCGTTGGGACGGGCAAGGTCAGCAGAAGCCGCAGGATGCAACCACCCATCACAGGAACAGGCTTTCCCTTCCCAGCCCTGCCCCACAGATTGCAGGCCATATCTCATACTCCTCAGCAACTTCTCTCTCATGGTTTTAATCATAACGATCTCAAGTAGTTCTCTTTGCTCAAAGATCACATCAGACTCTCAGAAAATATGAAGTTAAGAACTAACTAGTGGCGCTGGGAATCATGAAGGATAGGCACCCACGTGAACAGCTCGATGTGATGTATTCATCCTGAACAGATGGGCTTTGTTAGAACAAAACACCCCTGTCATTCAGCCCATCCTTGAATATTCACTGAGAAAGGATAAAAGGAGCACACACTTAGTGGGACACTTCAGTTCACAGCCACAAGGTTAAAAGATCACATAAAGAAAATACATTACTAGACAAACTGCTTAAACAAAACTTTGCGGATACCAAAATAAAAAATAAAAATCACTATCCTTAATAAATGCACATTGAGAGAGTGGAAAATTATTGGGTTCCAAGAATATTTTCAGCATACAACAAAGAGCGGAAAACTACCGAGTCTTCATAATCCGTGACACTATAAACGTAGAAGATAAAAAACAAAACTATGACTCTGGTGTCTAACCCTTCAGTCACCCGCCCCTCCTCCATCACTATGCTGAGCCCCTTTCTGTCCCTTCTCCCTGCTGCTTGCCCAGGTCACTGTGCTTCACCTTCCGAGCGTGCTCCCCTACCGTCAGCCCTCTGCACCCCCTCCCCCACGTGCACACGGGCCCGTCCCCCGCTCTGCACCCCTCCCCCCGAGTGCACACGGGCCCGTCACCCCCTCCCCTGCGCCCTCCCCCGCGTGCACACGAGCCCGTCACGCCCTCTGCACCCCTCCCCCCGCGTGCACACGGGCCCGTCCTCCCTCCGCACGCCCTCCCCCGTCCCGTTCCCCCCACCCCCGCTCCCACCTCCACCAGAGGGCCTCCGGGGGAAGCGTTGCCCTGCGGAACGTAAACACACCCTGGCAGGCACAGCCCGCGGCAGGGTATCCGGACAGACGGCAGGGGGCGTCCCGGGCACGGCCGGCCTTCCCTCCCAGCTCGGGACTCTGGGGCAAGACCCGGCCGCACCCCTGCAGCGCAGCGCGGCTCCGCACCAGATGGAAGCTCACACTCGCAGGCGGGAGCGGCGCTTCGGGACAGCGCTTCCGGGGCGCGGGCCGGGGCAGGGAGACTGCCGGGCCTGACGCCGCTTCTGGTCCAGGTCCACGCAGGGTAGAAGCACAGGCAGGCCCGTTCACTCCTTTCTCCTCTCCGTGTACTTCGTTCGTTCGGAACTCGTGGAGATGATTTATGAGTTCTAGTATCTTTGGGTTCCCCCTCCTGAGGACATGAGCGCGTGACGGGATAGGGGACCCAAGTGTATGCGCTGCTTCCCGGTGCCGAGCGGGCAGCGAAGGAAACGGTCCAGAAGTAGAAAGTGGGGGATGGTGACCACAGACGCAAGGCGCGTGTGATCAAAACCCATCGGCGAATGCGACCCTCATGCCCGGGTTAGCCACAGCCTTCAGAGGGCCTGGCCCCAGGCGGGATCTCAGGTCATTTCCAAAGACAGACGTCCGTGCCCTGGGCAACAGAGTCACCCCGAACCCAGAGGGCTCTCCACCGTGTCCGTCCGGGGGGACCACCAGCTGCCGGGGTGTGCGGCGGGTTAGAGGACAGCGCGCTGAGGACCACAGCGGATCCCAGCAAGCCTGAGAGCACATGGTAAATGAAGGAACCAGCTGGTTCTCAAACACTGCCTTGCTCAGACAGGACTGACTTCTCTCAGTTAGTGACAGGGTCAGCAAAAAAGAAGGGCAGGGGGACTAACAGGTATGTCGCTGGAACCACATCTGTGTGCGCTGAGAAATGACGGTTGAGTGTAAGGGACCGTGTGTGCAGTGCTCTTTCCTTAGCTTCGTGCTACTTGAGGGGGTGTCTGGGCGACCAACATCAGCACCAGCAGTGACTTGAAAAGTGAAATTTCGGGGCGCCTGGGTGGCTCCGTCCTTAAGCGTCTGCCTTCGGCTCAGGTCATGGTCCCGGGGTCCTGGGATCGAGCCCCTCATCGGGCTCCCTGCTCCACGGGAAGCCTGCTTCTCCCTCTCCCACTCCCCCTGCTTGTGTTCCCTCTCTCCCTGTGTCTCTCCGTCAAATAGATAAAATCAGAAGGAAGGAAGGAGGGAGGGAGGGAGGGGAGGGAGAGAAAGAAAAGTGAAATTTCATGGTTGCATCCCAAACTTCTTGAATTATAATTTCCTGGTGTTGAGTTCTGGATCTCCAAGAGATCTGTAAGCATGTTAGGGTTTAAGAAGTAATACTTAGCTAAATGGTTCTCAATACTGATTTCCTATCGGGATCCCTTGGGTGGTTGTAAGAAATACAATCATCCCAGACATCATTGCAAGTGTTCTGGAGCAGAGCCTAGCATCGCTGCTGTTTTAACAATACCTTCATGCCTCCTGACCCTGATCTCTGAGTTTGCTTTTCAAAGAAGATGTAGCCCGCTCCTTGCCCCCCACCCCATATTCAAGTTGCTATTTATGTTTGACCCTAAAATTCTTTAACTCCCATAGTTATTAAAAGATTGCAGAAGGGAGAGGAATTTTCCATACTTCTCCAGACCCTTTCAATATTGCCAGAAATGAAGAGCCACACTAGAGTAATGAGGCAGGATTTGGACCATGAGACCAGGGCCTAGTACTAAAACTAAACAGCCTGTGACCTAAGCTACATGGAGACTGGATCATCTCATGGGTCACAGAGGATTTGGGGACTGGTCCAGCCTTGGGTTCCTTTCCTTGCCCCGTGTGCTTTATGGACGTTTTCTTGCTCTACAGGAGAGAGTCTGCACTTAAGGGACAAAATCCTGTCAACAGAAAGAAGCACCGTTGAGGAGAGTGCTAGACAGAGAGGGAGAAGGAGAAGCTACTTGCTCTTCCCCTACAGAGCTATACAATCTTTCTGGTTGATAGTGACAATTTTTCCAAAGTTAGAAAATGTAGTCAGCATGAGCATATGATCTCTTCGCCACCAACTCCGTAGTTCTCAAATTCTGCTGCCTGTTACCACCATCTGGACACAGTTCAAAGACTCAGGCACAGACCTTGAAATAGACAAAAACGACCACAACACAAAATTGGTATCTTTGGGGTAGGGCCTAGAGATAAAAATTTTTTAAAACTCAACACCTGGGGCGCCTGGGTGGCTCAGTCATTAAGCGTCTGCCTTCGGCTCAGGTCATGATCCCAGGGTCCTGGGATCGAGTCCCGCATCGGGCTCCCTGCTCCGCGGGAGTCTGCTTCTCCCTCTCCCACTCCCCCTGCTTGTGTTCCCTCTCTCGATGTCTCTCTCTGGCAAATAAATAAATAAAATCTTAAAAATAAATTAATAAATAAAACATTAAAAAAAAGCAAAACTCAACACCTCTTACCAAAAAAAAAAAAAAAAAAAAAACTCAACAACCGTTTCCAATGTGAGAAAAACAGAATCAGTCTGTATGCAGTGCTTTCCACAATTTAATATAAGATCCACTAAGGAACATTGTTTATATGCATACCTTGATGCACTGGGCTGAATTGTGCCTAAGATTTCATGTTTTTAATAATACACAGGTTCTACCAAACTTCTTTTTATTCCCAGATAAATAAACTTTGATGAATAAAACTAATTTACAAAATGATCTTCAATGCTTAAATGTATATAAATGTATATCATATTTGGGAGAATTTTATTAATACTGAAATAATTGTATGTATTTATTTTAAAGATTTTATTTATTTGGGAGAATTTTATTAATAGTTTATTTTTTTAAAGATTTTATTTATTTGACAGAGAGAGAGCACGAGCAGGGCGAGTGGGAGAGGGAGAAGCAGACCTCCCATGGAGCAGGGAGCCCAATGCGGGGCTCGATTCCAGGACCCCAGGACCATGACCTGAGCCAAAGGCAGATGCTTAACCATCTAAGCCACCCAAGTGTCTCTTATTTATTTTAAAGATTTTATTTAACAGAGAGAGAGAGAGAGGGAGAGAACGTGCACACGCGTGCGCACGCGCACAAGCAGGGGGAGGGGCAGAGAGAGAAGCTGACTCCCCACTGAGCACGGTGAGGCTCAATCCCAAGACCCTGAGATCATGACCTGGGCCAAAGGCAGACGCTTCACTATCTGAGTCACCCAGGCAG